CTCCATTACAGTAGAGTGTAAATATAGTAGGCCAATGACTTTTAGTTGATATTAAAGCACCGATCATTCCTTTCATCGAAAGGGGGCCCAGCTAAGGAACTTCTATTACCGAATTTCAAAAAAAAAAAGAAAAAAAAAAAGAAAAGAAAAATACTCTCGGCTACACACGCAGAGCTTTACGGAGGTTTTGGAGGTTCGGGGCCAGACAAGTGGCCAGATTCTTCTATTTACTCCCCGGGGAAGATGTTTCAAACGATCCTAGCAGAACTCATAAGAACTCTACCCCACCGAATTTCCCTCTTTCGGGGACACGTCTCTAGTGTTAGCAAATGATTTTTTTTTTGGGTAAGTGTTTTTACGGCGCTCGCAACTGCATAATAAGGTCATATGAGCGCGCGGGACACACCTAATACTTTCAGTTGGTAGGAAATTTTGAATTTTGCCCGGGTGGCGGCCGAGGACTATTCTTATCAATTTTAGACCGCCAAGGGATCTTTAACGTGCGCAACTTGCACACGGGACCCCATCAGGCGCTCGTCAATTTTTGGGCATGAGAAGCTATTGGTTTCATCTGGAAAGCTGATTTATTTGCCTTGTTTCCAATGAAATGAATATATACCAATTTATCTTCAATAGAATTCAAGATATTTGCGATTGAAGTAAGTGAAGTCACATGGTTTTAGTAGTGAATATAGCAAGAAAATGGCCGCCAAGGTTTGGTAACTCCAATTATAACTAAAGAGTCTTTGAAAACTGAAAAATGACGACATATTTTGTGCGCTAAATCAATGTTTTTCAGTATTTTCATATGAACCTTGAAGAGGTTAAGCCAACCCCCCCAAAAAAAAAACAAAACAAACAACAACAACAACAAACAAACAAACAAAACAAAATCGACAAAAATTCCCAAACTGGTGGAAAACTGCCTTTTTCTCCATGGATCCAATTTCATTATTTTGACAAGCGCCTGATTTCACCACGCTGCCTCACATTCGAACTCTGTGTTTCCCTGAGCCAGAAGCCGGAGTGGGCTGTGCTGCCATCTGTCGCGCGTGTGTGTCACGAGCTGACCAGAGAGATGGGTGCCAGAGTCTGGACACACCCTACTCACGTGAGTAGAACGACTGGATATATCCGTGGATATTTCTCGCACAGTTTGATCAGTCCACGGTACACTGTACTCTTGTCTGCTATAATATTAGGCGTGTATGTTTTCCTGAAGGTCCTAGAGTGAGCTTGTCAAATTAATTGGGATATTATAAGCCCTTAGATTATCTTTGTCCATATTTATTGTACATATTTTACTTATATGATAACATCTGACGCCAAAATGTTCCACAGAAATAAAAAGGAGAACTACAATGGCTAAGGCTATTTTCAATAAAATTAGCCCAATCCTGAAAAATAGAAACATCTCAATGAACACCAAAATGAAAGTCCTGAAATGCTGTGTTTGGTCAACCCTTCTATATGGCTGTGAATGCTGGACAATCACTAAAGACAGTAAAAATAAAATAGAAGCAACAGAACTGTGGTTTCTTAGGAGACTGCTAAGAGTATCGTGGAAGGAAAAGAAATCAAATGAGGTAGTGCTTGATGAAGCCCACGTGGGACGCTCAATGTTAAAAACAATCAGGAAACGATAAATGCAGATAAAAACCTGAATAGACATAAGGGTCTTGAACATCTAGCTCTCACTGGCAAAATTGAGGGCAAGCGAGGCAGGTGTAGGCCCAGAACAAAATACTTAGGGAACATAAATGGGTAGCAGGAAAAGATCATCGAAACGTAGCTTTTTTTGAGAGCATCTGAGCAAAGGAATGAATGGAAGACCATGATCGCCGATGTCTGTCGCAGATCTGGCACTGGATGATGATGATGATGATTTTACTTCCCCATTGACTATGTATCTGTGGTGGTTAATGTACACTCTGGGTAGAGGGTAGTTGGAGGGTGTCAATGGTTGGTAGGTTCTTCTTCTTTTCTTCCCTCCTGATGTTTGTGTCTGTCTGAGTGGGAAGTTGGGGGGGGG